GAAATTCTTATAAGATTCTTACTCGATTCTTACGAAATTCGTGCAACTTTCCTGCCACTTCTTATATAAGAGTCGGATGAGATTCTTAGCAAAAGCAGATAAGAAGTTGGTAAGATCCTTGCCAGATCCCTGTTCGATTCTTATATAAGAATCGATGTCCAGGATAATACATCCTGAGATGTAATTGGTATAATACAAAAATTTGGTTGCCACATGCTACCGTTTAGTTGCGATAGGTGTTACCAAGATTATCTATCTATTATCATTCCTGTATGTCAAGCTTTTTATATCATGATCAGGAAGAGGCCTCATAGTTAGATTGAACGTGTGCTCAGACATGCTTCTTTTTCTATGTTATCTTATGATTAATAAAAATATATATTGAGGAAGCGGTGTACCTTCTGTACTCTGGGTAATGTGCTTCTTCTCATTGTTGTTGTTCCAGGTATGAACGTATGTTACCCGTTCTTTATGGTAAAATTAATCAGACAGATTACAATAATCCTCCAGTACCAATTTATATCACAAGCGGTGCTGGTGGTAGCCCAGAATGTGGACTAACCAGTAAATATACTCGACAATCATATTCTGCTTTTATCCAGAATAATCAATGTGGTTTTGGTCAACTGAAAGTGATTAATCGGACATATGCTGAATGGAAATTTTACAATGTGAATAATTTAGAAACACCAATTGATCAAATACAAATACGTAAAAACCATTAATCTGAAACAAAAAATCATTATCAAAACTCTTTTTTTTCTAATGAATTTCATTCAAATTATTATTTATACTTCAAAAATGAACAAACAGTTTGTGCGTCGTGATGTTCAGTCTTCTATTGACGTTTGTATAGATCGTTTGAACGTTCTAATCTGATTGGAAAAATGAAAAAAATACGTTGTTTGATCAAAATTGATACAGATTACAAATTAATAAATAAATTTGCCTGAATAAGCATGACGTTGAATCCACAAACTTTCTTTTATTTTACTCCCCTATAGTAGTATATGCGCTTCTATTTTTCTTAATGATGATGAACAACTATGCAAAATAAGAAGATACGTGCGAAAAAGCGACTTATATATAACCTTTATTCAAATTAGCAATAACCTCGGGTGACGGTGCACTTGATACGTTCGAAGCAATTTTCTCCAAAACTAGGGTGAGCCAGACCCTAGAACTTTCACGTTAAAAGTTCTTCAGCTACTCGTCTACTGAGTGATGTATTCAGGCTTATTTGAAACTATTTCGTCGAATAAAATTTGGTTCAAAAGTGGCTGATATATGAGTGCAAAAGGTAGTTTAGGTTAATTGTTTTATGGACACCAAGTCGGATAATTCTTTCGAAACTGTCACACATTTGCCGCAAAAATCGCGACATATTTCATTTGAAAGAGCATTGCATTCGGAGGAAGGCTCAACATAAAAGATCGAAAAATTGACAAAATTTTTCATTTCTCTGTTTCCAAGGCATCTGATGCAGTTTTTGACACTGATTCCAAATATCACCTTCTTTTTGTTTTTAAACGAACTTTTGATGACTAAAATCTCAAATCTCTCACTTGTGATTGGTCGATCATCTTGTTTTCAAGTTTTGGAACTTCTGCCTACTTTCAAAATAAAGCTTTTGTGCTCAGTTTGTGGAAAATTGAATTCGCTATCGCATGTGACCTTCGAATTGTTAGTGAAATTCTGTTTGGAGGGTCGAAAGTGGCATTTTCTCGAAAATTTTGACTCTTCAAAATCCCAATTCTCCAATTGATGTGGACTTTAAACAGTCACTTCCTACCGAAGCAAAACCTGCCCTGCAAAAATATCTAGATGCATTCGCTGGTGCATCTAGCGATGCTCCAGCAGGAGCATCTAGATAAATGAGTAAAAAAAATCTAGTTATCTAGATGCATCTAGTAAAAGCGAT